GGTTCAAGAGATGAAAAGGTTAGTAGAAAAACTATTCACAATAAAGAAATAAAAATATATTTGTTACTGTCCTTTCTTAATACATAAGTTGTTTTCTTCTTTATTTTATAGTAGATTTTTCTGGTATTCTGAGCTTTATGGCCCACAAAATGATGCATTAGAGGATTATTAATGTAATGCCTTAATGTATTTAAAGATTTCCATTTTATATTAATTGAAAACTAATGAACATTAGGTATTATAGATGAAAAACAAACAACAGGGCATAAGTAACAAAATAAATGTACTAAAAGGTCCAGAGGAAAAACACTGGGAAGTATTTTGGTTATTAGTATGACAACAGCTTTTACACATTGGAGGGGGAAAAAAATCATAATTTTTTCATACTTTTTTTCAATAGAAACATTAAGTCAATCTTTTATTTTAATTTACTTATTGTTTTGGAGAGGTTTTTGCTATAGGGTGTATGCACTTGCCAGAAAGACAGAGAGATAGAAAGTAAGAAATCACCCCCCCAGGGGAGATGGCCACGCTGCAATCCCCTCTCCTCCATTCTCCTCTTGGGATCTTGGGCACGCATGCACACGTGCCTGGCGTATTTAAGCCACCGGCTCTGGGACTCGAACCATTGTTGACTACATGGGAGTCCAGTGACATAGCCATTACGCTAACTGCTGGTCCCAAGTCAATCTTTTAACTGTGAATTCTATTTAACATATTAAAAAAAGATATGGGCAATGAACCTAGAATGGTCTCCCCAGACTTTATACCATGAAAAATTCAAATACAAAAGTTAAAAAAATAGCTAAATGTTAGAGTTGGTAGGTGGTGTGGTGGTTAAAGAAGCTGGATTCCCACATGGCGGACCTCGATTCAAGTCCCGAAACTAGCGGCTTGTTTTCTAGCTTTCCCTCTCTCTATCTCTGTTTCTATCTGATCAAATTGAAAAATAATGGGACCAGCAGTTAGCATAATGGCTATGTTGCTGGACTCCTATGTTGTCTACTGCGGTTCGAGTCCCGGACCCGGTGGCTTAAACTCACACCAGGAGCATGTGCGTGCGTGCCCAGGACCCCAAGAAGAGAATGGAGGAGTGGGGATTGCAGCGTGGCCATCCCCCGGGGGCTGATTTCTCACTTCCTGTCTCTCTGTCTCTCTCTGTCTTTCTGGCCAGCTCACGTGCCCTATAGCAAAAACCTCTCAAAAAAAATAATAGTAGTAACAAATGGAATTAAGTAAATAAGTAAATAATTCTTTTTAAAAAATAGCAAAATATTAGATTTTGGGAAAGCCATGATGTATTTTTCTGTGCAAAAATGTGTCATGACTTTCCCGATGACCCAATAATTGTAGCCTCTATCCCTAAATTCTGTAATTGCTAAATATTACCAAATTTGTTTTCTCTTTCTCTCTCTCCACATACTTTATTTGCAGTTGTAGATGTTATTTGAAGCTGCATGCTTTACCATCGATCTTCTCAGAATTTATTCTCTGACATAAAAACAATATTCTTGTATTCATGAAAAGAATAATTCTATACTGCCTAATATACAGTCCAAAGTATGTTAATATTGCCCAAGAATATCTTCCATAGCTGTTATCTTTTTTCTTTTTAATCCAAAGCCAGTAAAGGTTCATAAATTACATTTTCATTGTATGTCTTTGTTTCTAGGGGGCTAGGCCTTCCCCACTTTTTTCTATTTTCTCTCTCATGACACAAACTTTTTAAAAAACTGAAACCAGAGCCAGCATGTGGTGTGGTGATTAAGGCAGCTTTATCCAACAAGGTCGACAGCCCTGTCTGAGTCCCAGACCCACTGGCCTGAGAATTACATCAAGTACACATGTGTGTGCACAAAATCCCAAAAGGAGGGAAAAATGGAGAAGAGACTGCAGCATGACCATTCCCCCAGGGGGTGCTTTCTTACTTTTTCCTCTCCCTGTCGCTCTCTTGTGAGCATGCTCTGTCAAAATTAAAACAAAACAAAACAAAAAAAGAACTGAGGCCAGTTGTCTTGTAGAATCCAACATTTGTTATTTATGCCATTTAACTTGTTCATCTACGTCTAGACTGTCCATAGAAACATGAAGGTTTCTAGCAGACTTGCCTCCGAGCCCCCTCCCCATCCCTAGAACCCACTTGCCTTCAACTATGAATACCCAGGATCATGATCAGTTAAACTCAAACTTTAACCCTTCAAAGACATTGCTAGCTTCAAGAAGAAAAGTTATTCAAATAATATTGCCAAGGTAAAAATGTTTATAGTAAAAGGAAAGACATCTCTGAATAATGTTGATTTCCTGGCAAGTCCTTGGCCTACAGGAAAGATGGGTCATCGCAGAGTATCAAGGGGCCAAGGTCCACTCTCCTTATGTGACTATGAAGCAAGGAGCATTGCAGGCGCTTCCTTTAACTACTTTTTCTTCTGCCTACCAGATGCTAATTTGAAGGAATAAAAAAAAAAGTGCATTATTCCAACTTTTATCAGACTGTACAGTGGGTATAAGGGAAGAAGGGCCTAATTTCACTGGGACTCATTCGTTACTATGGTTTGAATTCCAGGCAGTTTTTGAACATGCCCCCAAATACTGTCCTTGCTTTCCCAGGACAACTCACTGATGGCTCTGGAAAGCTCTGGCAAAAAGGCCTTAGGCTTGAATTATGTCAAATAAATAAATAAATAAATAAGGATGAATCTATTCTATTAGTGTGAAAATCTCAAATTAATCAGACAACATTAACACACAGAAGTGAACCATACATGTATATCAGATGTAAACAGGTTTAGAAGAGGCGCTGATACGCAGAAGAACATACTACAATGGCATTTATAGCTGCACTTCTATGATTGCTTATAAACTCTCTAGAAACAGACTTAAATAAACACAAGTCCAGCCCTGGCTGAGATGGTGTTCCACAGGCCACAGACATAGTCAAGGGTTTTTAAAAACATGATCGGTCAGCTAAGAAGTTTATCCGCCTGGTGCCTCAAATTCTCAAACAGTTTATTTGAATATGAGTGAATGGCTAATCTCCTACAAGTTTGGGGGCTTTACCAAGGTAAACAAATGGGTGGGCTGTGAAAGTAAACACCACATTTCCTCCCAGGCTCATCCCAGTTTGCAAAATTCCTCTCTCACTCCTTTCACTAACCCCAGCTTTCCCATTTCCAAGCTTAGGTCTCTTGTACCGGTAAAAGTACTGAAATTGCAAAGGAGACATTTTTAATTATAAGTACTACAGTAATGAATTCAAGTACACTCGTTTATCATAAAGGGCTTTCCCATCTGTCTCTAAAGTATACTTAAAAATGCTGTGTATTTGATAACATTAGCACCAAGCATTTTCCACATGTTAATATTCAGCATTTTAGATGTTCGCTTCCCCCTCCCCCCCCCACCAAAGACAGCATCATGGTGATTCCAGAAAGAACACATTTATGTCTGTGTTTGGGAGTGCCTGTGTGGTCTCTTCCTAATTTATTTGCACTCCAATCCTTGGGGGATCCCATCGTGATCCCTCTAGGCAAAGGGAGATTAGGGAACTGGGTTGTCTGCTTCTCCCCACCCTGACAGGGAAGGGAAAACAACTTCCCCAAGCTCTACAAGTTCTTATGGCCACTGTACAAATTGTTCTTGAGCATGGAGGGTTTCCAAAAGCCCTAATTAGCAACTCACAGCAAACATTTCTTTGCATTAGCTAATGATCCGGCTACACTTGTAAGCAAACAGAACCAACATATCTAATCAATGCTGAAAAACCAACCAAATGCCTATTAAACATCTGGATGTAATTTTCTAGTTAGAACAAAATGAAAACATATGCAGGTTCCTTTGATCTGCATCTTAACAAAGAAATTGTTGATAAAAAAGCATACTGGTCAGTCAATGTGTCATTTTCATAAAGTCTGCTCGTTTCTCTTCAAATGCTCCCAGTTTAATTTAGTTGGTTTCCTGCAATCTCTAATTTTACCATATTGTGTGAAACCGCAAGAGATTCTTTGGATGTGATTTTATTTGAGGTTTTACTGCTGCATGAATCTGCTACTGATTTTTTTCTTTCCTGCCTTCTTCCCTCCACCTCCACGCCCATCCTGCCCTTTTCTTTGGTGAAAGGGTGGGGGATAAAAAGGTTATAAAGCAATGCTGGGAAAATTTCTTCTGGCCTCTGTATTGTTAGGTTTAAGAAAACTCTTACAAGAAAAATGAGAGTCAAATGAGAAAAGGTATGAGCAGTAACTCTCAGGTAAAAGCAAGAAGAAATGACAAAAGTAGTCTTCTAAAAATTGCTACAATTATTATTTACTTCAAACACAGATTTAAAAGATGCATAACTTCTATGATCAACATCCATAATTTTTCCTATTGGGCCTTGTATCTATGCTATACAACACCTATTTTTTTTGTAATTACGCTATTAGTGAGTTGAAAATTTAATAATCAGTAACAAATACATGAAAATATGCCCATATATGCAACAAGCTAAAATAAAAATTTGACAACCTTTTTGTTTCTTTTGCCATGGATAAAAGGTTTTATAAAAACTGGGTATTTTTTTCCAGAGAAAATTTCCTATGGACATGGCATATTTAATATTATTTCATGTAAAAACACATCGATTTGGGAATATGTTAAAGGTAGAAAAGATTAACAGACTTTAAATAGAAAACCAAAATTATAGCTTTCCTGAGTAGGACTATTTTTTTTTAAAACAGACTGTAGACAATCTGCACATATATTATTTATTTAAAACATAAGATTAAAGCTACTTGATTATTTAAACACCTTCATTTGTAATGCAGTTTGATGAGAGTTTTATATTATAATTATTACAGCATGACAATCATGGAGAAAACATGACCTTGAAAAAGGGCAGAGATTTCTCTCATTCTCCAGGAAGATTCTCTGAATGAGAAAGACGTCTTCAGAAAACCAACCGTCTTTATGCACACAATTAAAGGGCTTCCAATTTAAAAGTCATTATGGTTTTTTTTCTCTAGATACTACATTATAAGGAACTCAGATGGTCTGGCCTGGTTTCAAACTCTACTGGTAAGAAAGCACTAGTTAAAAGAGAATTTCCAGTTTTTATTCACAGCAAACAGGGAAATACAATGAGTGGAAACATCTTTTGTGAACAATTATATTAGAGAACACTTAGACAATGTGTTAGAATCAATTTTATTTTTATTTGTTAAAGGTTATTTATTTCTTCCACAAATGAGAGCGAGAGAAAAAAAAAAAAAAAAAAAAAAAAAAAAAAAAAAAAAAAAAAAAAAAAAAACAGAGACACACATACCCTGACCGGGGTCTATGATGCCAGGACCCACCCTCAGCTAGTCCCTGATCACAGGGCACGTACCCACCCTGCATACTTGGGTCTCCAGACACAAACCAGGAACCTTTGTTTCTGGTCAGCCTCTCTGATGGTGATGTTTTATTGCATACCACACCACAGTCCAGCCCCTAGAAGTGATTTTAAAGGGTGCAGAATAGGGGAGAAAAAGAATGGTAGAAAGAATTTTGCTTCTGTCCCAAAACATACTGTTTAATTTCTGTTTAAATTTAGCAAGCAGCCTGTGCCAATATGTTAAGACACATGCACTCACTGGGTGAAACTTGGGTAAGTCAGAGAGGTCTCAGTTGCCCCAACTGTCCCAGCCAGCATAGGAACAGGCACACTTAAGACATCCAAACACTGTCTACCCAGTCCTGGAGCTGGCTATGGGTTGGAGTGACCACAGTCTGGCTATGTGGCCCTTTGTATCATCTGCAGCCAGATGACTTCAAGGAACACAGGTTGCCAAGGGATAAAGTGTAGCCATTCATGGATCACATGATTTTTAAAAATTTCTGTATGTAGAGCAAGCTTGCTCTCATCATCACCAAATTTAACAGGCGCAAGAGAGGCAGCGCTTCCTTTCCTTTTGTTCTCAGCAAAATTGGAAATATAACCTCCTTTCCAACTCCACTTAAAGAGAACACCACAAAGCTACAATCCTGAACTTGTTTAAGAATTCACTCTGGCCTTGTACAGACTGGCTAAAATCACTCTTTCATTTTTCATTTATAATTGATATTTGGGATTGATGCAATTATAGACAAATCTATATCATACATATTTTAAAACAACTCTAACAGTGAACCACATTATCTTTTAATATTTCACGAAAAAGATCTCTGTAAAGCATATCTTCTAATGAAATGTATGTCTGTTTAAGCTCCTTCTTCTAAGTCTCTTGCAAGTAAAATAATGGGAATGTGGGGGTTATTCATCCCAAAAACTTGTTAGCTAGGCTCCAACATAAAATGACTGTCTGCCAAAGATGCATCTTTCTCATGGGAAGAAGTTACCACCATTTGGACAAAACAGCATTATTCAGCCACCGCTCATGTGGAAACAGCGTCACTGAACTGTCCTTTAAACACATGTATAAATGCAGCAAAACGGAAGGTTTTCTGCTATGTGGTGTAATTTGAGAAACAGACAAAAAAAACTGGGGACCTCCCAATATTAATTCCATGGTATGTCTGGTTGATTTAAAATTTCAAAATCTCTTTTAACTCAGGTTGCATTCGTTTATAATCTTAGCCGCATCATTTACCCAACTCTTCCCATTCAAGTCTTTGCGCAGCCTAGCCCAGGGGTACCACACAACCTATGGGGGTGGGGTGAGCAGGACAGGTTTTTCAGGTCTCAATACTGGTTTATTCCATTGTCTCTCTTTGTTCTCAGGAACTGCAAACAGACTCGAGATCTTGTGGCCAAGGAGCTCCTAGAGCCCTGGGGCACTTCCTATCCGTCCCCCAACACCGTCTAGGACTTTTAAGACTGGGAGCGGGTGTTTCGATCCGCGGGCAAAGCTTCTTCAATCGGCGCCTGGGACACGCGTGTCTTATTCTGGCAGCAGCCTGGGGAACCTTCCCGCCAAACGAATGCCGACCTTTCTGCAAAGTGTTTTGAAATCTTCCAATAAAAACCCAAATCCTACCAACCACCTCGGGGGCAAAGGGGATGCGTGACACGGTCATCATCGGTGGCTGAGGTGCCTACGTCAGCCAACGCGTTGCTCATTTATGCTTTTTCCGCCAAGTGCACAGTTCAATCCTTCTTGTGCACCCGCGAAAAAGGCAGCTCAAGGAAAAACAAAGCTCGGAGAAATTTTAAAATGTGACCTCAGTTTCAAAGAGTAGCACAGAACAAGGGGAAGCACGGAAAACCGTGTTTTCCTCGAATTGCCAAAAAGCTACCCCTCCGTCACGCCTTGCCTCAGACAAAAAAAAAAATAAAAAACAAAAACTACGCAGTTAGTCACTGAGTTACTTTCACCGATATCTGAGAATTTTTCACTAAAAGGAAAAGTGAACAAGTGGCAGGATTTTCGCAAATTCGGGTCCCCAGCTTCCGCGGCGGCACGCTCGCCGGTCCCTCCCGCTCGTGCGCGCCCGCGCGTTCCCTAGCCAGCCCCACGTTACTTTGATTGACAGGCCGGCCCCGCCGCTCTCCTTCCAACCGACCTTCCCATCCTCGGTGCCAATCTCCGCGTCTCGCCGCTTCCCATTGGCTGGTTTTGGAGTCGCGCGGCTCCTCCAGGAACAGTTCCTCACCGAGCCCGGGAGGACGCGGCTGGTGGAGGAGGGGGGTGAAGAGGGGGAGACAGGGGAGACGGGGGAGATGGAAGCTAGCGGGGTGGGAGAGGAGATGGGAGGGGGAACAGCTTGTCCGGCGCTGCGCTGCCATAGGCTCCGCGGGGGGGG